ATGTCGGTGCGACATCCAGCTTGTCGGGGCCCTGCTTTTGGGGTGGCGAGACACCAGCATGAGGCTCATCGCTGCTGCTAATCGCATCGGGTGCCGCCCGTTCCTCCAAAGAGAAGGGCTTTGTGGGCGGGTTTGCTCAGGTAGGTCTGCGATTTTGAGCAGCGATTCGGTGTTTAAACAGTAGGAAGTTTGTGCTCGGAAACAAATAGGATTAGGCTGAAGTGTCCCTAGGACGTTGTTTCTGGCAGAGGGGAACGGGTTGGGTGGGTTTCTCTTGGGTGGAGCGTGGTTTCTGCTCCGGAGCTGTGAGATCCAGGGCGCCGGGTGATGGTAGAGCCCTTAAATCCTCCCACAGCTTTTCCCCAGTGTGAAAGCAGCTTTGCTTGGGGCTGCTGGCTTCGCTTGGGGCAGACCGCTTCTGGGAGGCTGGTCAGCTTCTGCTTCTTGGTCCCTGTTGGCTCTTGTGGGGTAAATCCCAGGGCAAGAGACCCCAGGCAGAGGCCGTGCCCCCACTACAGAGGAAGGCAACCCCCCTGCCTCCCAGTCCATCTGACCGGGGGGAACAATTCCTTCCTGACCCCAAAAATGACATCGGTCTGACCCTGAGCAGAGGGGCATGACCTTTGAGCCAGGACCCTCCGGGGTTGAGTCCCAGCAGGACCATTGGGACAGCCCAGTCCCCATCCCCACCTTGGGCTGCAACCTGCACCCAGCGCCTCTGAAGGAAGCTTAAAAACACCCAGACACGTGTAGCAGCAAGTGGGGGTTAAATCCCATAATGCAGACAGAGCCATTGTGTCTGAGCAGCTCTGCATCGGCAGTGTATTGTCTCTTTCTGGGAGATTACTGACGGGGGGGGGGTGGCCTAAGGCACAGTGTGGCTAAGTGACTTGCCCAAGGCCACCCAGGACTTCAGTGGCAGAGCTAGGGCTGAGCTCTTGGGCCCCTCATTGCAAGCCGGTGCCTTGCGTCCTTCTGGAAGCGGATGGAGCGGACTCGGGGTGAAGGAACGGGGCCTCGTCGGCGGGCAGCGGAGCAAGCCAAACGGACACTGCGAGCCATGCGTGCGTTTCCTGGCGAGGAGGCAGCTCAGTCTCTTCCGAGACACCTGAGCAACCCGCGGCGCGGCCTCGCCCCCACATGCCTTTACTCGTTGTAGCTCGTGGCCCAGGCCCCGAAATCTGAAGGGAGAAAGCGGGGGGGGGTGCGCCCTCCCCTACCAGCTCGTTGGCTCTCTCTCCTCTTCTCCGCGCCTGGCTCTGCGGTGGGGTGAGTCATGATGAATCAGAGTTTATTTCCCCGGGGGGATGCAGCACGTTTCCATCACCCCTCTTGCCCCTGCCGGAGGCTGCTGCTGGGTTGGGAAATCCGCCCTGCCTTCTCGCTGGGGCACGCTGGAGCTGGGGGAGGAAGGGGCCCCGAGCTGCCCGCTGGGTGTCTGCTCCTCCCTTGTTTGAGTCTCCTTGGACAGAACAAAAGGATTCCCAAAGCGCGGGGATATTTGGCTCTGAGTCCTCTACGCTCTCCTGTCATCCTCCTCCGTTGGGCACCTCCTTCAGGCTCCTGCCCCAGCTTTTGTGCTCTATCCTAAGCCCAGGCAGAAGAACAGGCCCAGAGCTGCGTTGCTCCAGTTATTTGGGAGGTCAGGTTGGCCCCCCGAAACCTTGCTGATGTGCCCCGTGAACCGACTCCGGAGCCGCTGGGGTGTCAGCCCGCCACGGGCTGCTCCCGGCGGCACTCACTTCCCACTGGAGGAAGCTGCTCCACTTCTGCGCCGGCATTTGGGAACTGAGCAGCGCCGCTAATTAACGACCCTGCACGCAGCAACGGCTTTGGGAGAGGGGATCCTTTATCCGGCTTTATCGCCTGGCACGGAGACCGCAGGAGGCCATTCGGCTCGTCTCCCGCGACGGAGGACGGCGGGATGACCGAACGGGCGACCGCGACTTTGTTCTGCAAGAGTGTGGGCCCCCGAGGCCCAGCCGTCACACCAGAAGGGGTCACGGGTGGATCTAGGGTTTTGAAAAGGGGGGTGCAGGTGGTGCGGTGCATTATCAATAGATAAAACAACACATATGTTTCCCCGGGTAAAAAGAAACTAGAAGCATTACTAATATGCTTGATTGCTCATAGAATAATAGAATCCTACAATGATAGAAAATGAGGGTGGACGGGACCTCAGGAGGTCACGTCTAGTCCAACCCCCTGCTTCAAGCAGGACCAGCCCCAACTGCATCATCCCAGCCAAGGCTTTCTCTACCCGGGGCTTCAAAACCTCCAAGGATGGAGAGTCCACCGCCTCTCTGGGGAGCCCGTTCCAGTGCTTCACCAGCCTCCTCATGAGGAAGTTTCTCCTAATATCCAAAACCTCCTTTATTGCTGTAACTTGAATTCACTTTCAGTTTGAAGCAAAACAAACGTGTCGTTTTTGGACTAGCGTCAGGTATCCAGGTTGTAGCCGGGTTGGTCTAGAGGAAAAGGCAATCAGGACTCGTAGTAGAGATGATATCTTTTATTAGACCAACAGGATTTTTGCAAAAAAAAAAAAAAAAAAATTTCTTTAATTGCAAGCTTTCCAGCATTTTATTGGAATATGCATTCATTTGCTAGATCATATATTCTGGGTTAAAAACTCCTCTCCCACAAAACTCAGGCAAAAATCAGAAGATAGTTTCATCGTTTCTAGGGTCCGAAGGGACCTGAACAGATCATCAAGTCCAACCCCCTGCCCTGGGCAGGAATGAGTGCTGGGATCATAATACCCCAGCCAGATATCTATCCAACCTCCTCTTGAAGACCCCTGCTATGTCTTCAGTCCTGTTGTTACTAGAATGAAATGGGCATCTCTTTTCGGTGCATAAAACACAATCTAGCCCTCTTGAGCATCTTGCATGTGTGCCTGATGCTATTCCCGTGTCTGAGTTAAGGATGTTTTTAGCTAGAGTTAAAAAAAAAAAAAAGGCTGCAGGGCTGTGAAATAGGAGCTTCATTTCCAGTAGCTGCAAACCGACTGAAGACTTGCAGAAGAATGGCTGGTTGGATTTTACCAGCTTTAATTTTCCCTCTACCTGAAGAAGGGTGCATGTGCTCAAAAGCTTGCAAAGAAAGATTTGTGTGTGTGTGTGTGTGATTTCTTAGTTGGTCTACCAAAAAGGTATCATCTCTGAACCAAAAACTTTGCATTTATTTTTGTCTCAGACCAACACAGCTACCGAATCCACCCCTGGCTGGATTCGTAGTGCATTAACACTGCTAAAAAAGGGGAGAGGGTCATTAACACCTCCGGAATGAAGAGTTTAGCAGGAATCAGGTCGATTATAACAAGACATGAAGTCTCAAGTTGTTTTTAAACTTCCCATGGGGCAGGAATCAAAGGCGGGTGCAACGGCACCGCCTGGACGTGCCCCTGGAAGGGTTCTCCAGCTAAAACCACTGCGTGCCGGGCCCCTGAGAGGCTGTTCCTCAGCCACGGAGGCTCATCTCCAGGAAAGCTGGCCAGGAGACAGAGCTGACCAAGCAACACGCCGATACCCTGCAGACCTGGCGCCAGAAGCAATGCTGTGGTCGCTCCTGGGGGAGCCCTGCAATGTGCCTCTTCCCACCCCGAATCTGGCGGGGAGCAGGGAGGCTGCAGTGCTTGCAAAGTGCTCTGAGCCCCCGGGGTGGACGGGAAGAGCCACAGGCCTGGAATGGGCAGCAGGGTTTTGAACCAGTGGCTGCTGGTGACCGGGCAGAGAAGAAGGGAATGCTTCTGCACGCAGGGAAAGACCCTTTCAAACAAGCCCGTCATTATCCGGAGCTATTCTGCTTGCTCAGCAGCAGGAAGGTGGAGAGTCTGCACGCCTTCAAGAGCCCGGGCGCTGAGTCAAGCGGCTATGAAAAGCGGCGAGGGCGTCATGGCCTGATTTATTTATAGCACAGGAGGATTTTCTCCCTCCCCCTTACCATCCTTTGAGCTGATCGTTTGCTGCAGTAATATAAAAACCCGGCCGACCGGGGGCAGGAGTGGAGGGGGCCTGCCCCTAGCAGGTTTCTTGCTGGGGCCACATAGGTGTGGGGAGCTGCACGAGCTCAGCCCGTGTCCCGCGGCATGCAGGCTGACACCATCCCGACCATTCGCACAGCGGGCGTGCAAAGCTTTGCTGGCCTTTGGCTGGCACCTCATATGCAAGGGGAAGCAAGCAGGGGAGGACGGCTCTGGTCAACACACAATGCCAGGGAAGGTGAAGCGGCTTTGGGAGGCGACTGCCAGACTTATTTCGGTGCAAACGCATCAGCACAGTTTCCCCCTGTGCCAGGTGTGCAAGCGGGTTATCGCCACGTGCGCGGGTATCGCTCAGTCAGATCTTGCTGCCAGTGGCTGTGGGGCGAAGCCAGAAGACAACCCCGACCGGACAGGCCCTGTGTTTCCACGGGTGTGAGGACAGCGCCTGGGCTCGGCAGAGGTCTGCTGTCCCGTGCGTCAGCCCCGTGCCTGGTGTGATTGAAATGAAGCCACCGCAAGCTGCTTGACAAGGAATTAGCATGCCTGCAAATTGGAGGGGCCCGCAAAGCAATGACCCGATCCCCATGAGTAAGAGGGGCAAGATCCACTTAGGAGCAGGCGGCTCCGCTCTGCTTTACAAAGCCCGCGACTTCTGACGCTGTCTCACCCGCCAGGCACAGAAAGATGCACTTTGTCCTCCTCGCTTCCAGGTCCAGGGTCTGATTTGAGGGCCTAAAATGATGTCTCCGGAGGCTTAAAATGATGCCTCCGCAGCTCCCCTGGGACTGGGCAGGCTGGATCAGGCCCTTTCCTGGTGCAAGCCGGCTGAGGCTGATGGGTGCAGGTGCCGCTGCAAGAGAGAGCCAAGCACGTGCTCCGTGTGACGAGGCTGCTCAGGATTTTGAACTCGGCTGGAGGGGTTTGCTACGGGGGAGGACGGCGTGGGTGGATGAGCACCACAAATGAAAACAGACAGACGAGTAAACCCAAGTGGGTGCTGACGGGTGCCTGTAGGGGCAAGCGTCAGAGTGGCTTTGGCTAGCAAACCCATGGGGCAGCAGTGCCGGCACTGGCTGCCCGATTCTCCTTGTATTCGGGAAAGCCGGGCTCGGTGCACGTGGGTAGTTGAACCCCATTGCATCGCAGCTCCCTGACCCTGCAGCCAGTTCCTCCTCCTCTCTGGACTTCCCCCTGCAAAAGCCCTGAAGCGCGGCTAGCCGCTCGGATCAAGAGAGGTGACCCGGGAGCCTTCCTCCATGGCGCTGAGCCACGGGAGGGTCAGAGATGGCAAGCAAAGCCGGTCAATGCTGTTTTGGCAGGGGAGCACAGCAGGAAGTGGCGCTGACTCACCCGCGCTGCCCTGCCAGCCCATGCCGGCAGTCGTGAGGGCTGTGATCGTTTCTGGTAAGGGGAGAAGTGTTTCCCGTGGTGTCCTGGCTGTCACGACACTCGTGGTTACGTTGCTCCCTGCATTAGACCGTAAGTACCTCTGGGACTTAGGCCCCTAGTGACCTTGAAAATCCCCGCCCCCCGTCTTATTTTATGTCTAGAAAGTGCAACCATCCGAAAACAGCTATGGATAAATTCCTCCCGTGGATCATTTCCGCAGGGGGTGGATGCTCCGTCCCGCCATGCTCAGCCATTGCCCTGGTACGGCTGTGCCCTCTTCAACTGCAGCTGTGTTCCACCCCAGAGGTGGCTGCATTGCAGCCGCGGAGGCATGATGCCTCTAGCCAGCTTGTCAAGTCGCACGGGTCCTTCCTGAACACGGAGTTTCCTTGTTCAGTGCCGAGCCCTTCTTGTAACTGCTCAGATATCTGAGCCTGTAGACAGCCAAGGTTGCTCTTTTGCTTCGCCGTTCCTTCCCGTAATGAGCTGATTTGAATCCCTTGACACCTGAGATACTGAGATACTATGTCGGGCCGTGGTCTATAAATACCTACGAGGCAGAGAAGTTTGTTAGGTTTTTTTTAAATCCCCCTCCGCTTTCTGGATAGTTTTGTCTGCTCTCTGTTCTCCGCCAGGATCTTATCAATCCCGTAGTGTCGGGACTGGAAGGTTTTCTCTTTGCCGAAGGGGCTGTTTGCGCTTATGAACACGAGGTTTTATTTTTTACAGCCTCCGGCAAATGTAAGGGAGGTGAGACCACGCTTGAGTCAGCAATGGGCGCCCTGGGCACCGCTGCAGCGTCACAGAAGAAATCAAGTGCCTCTTATTGCCCTAGGTCTTTCTCTTTTGTTAGGCCTTTATTAAGTCCCCATACGGCAGAAGGAAATGGAAGCTCTTCTTTGCTTCCTTTGGAATAAAGGCTTGGCTCTCCACCATTTTGGCTATTGGCCATCTTGGTTCTTGACCCCCGCCATCTCATCTTGTTTCCCTTTCCTTCACCCGTTGCCCATGGTGGGATTTTTGAATCCCATGGTTTCTGATCAGCCCCTTCTGGAGCCATGTTGGCTCACCCCCCGCCACCGGTTTCACATTTGCCCCTCCATCATGGTACCGCTCAGGGGATGGCCCATTTGAAGGCCATGATCAACTCAACTCTTGACTGGAGGCCTCCATTTTGGGATCCTCCATGCTATGGTGGTGTGCGGGAGCAAGCCCATGGATGAGGGATGACATCCCAGTGGGAAAAGCTGGTGCATCTGGTCTAATGAGCATTTAGTCTAACAGGGAAAGCAAGCGGAGAAAAGGGCGGTAGCGTGTGTCTCCCCATGTAGTCGGAGAAGACCCCTCGTCTCACCATTGAGGTGTTCGGGGGGGATTGTCTGATGGCCTGTTAGCCCAATCTTTGCCTGGGATATACAGAGGCAGGCTGGATAGAGCATGGCCTGGCAGGACTGACCCAATGCCAAGACTTCCCTTGCAGGCTGGTATGCTCTGGGCGTGTGTACACATGCACATTTAATGCACATTAGCCCAATTTAAGGCACATTAAGGGCAGGCGTCTACACGCACGCAGCCTTAATGCACCTTCAAAATGGCGATTTTAGGCTACTCGAGCCTAAATTTGATACCTTCATAAAGCAGGTATCGAATTTAGGCGTGAATGGCTCAGTCGCATCAGTGAATGTGTAGATGCACTAATGCACATTAACGTGGTGAGTGTCCATTGACTCGGGACTAACTTTAGTCTCAAGTCAGTTTGCACACCTGCGTGAATGAGCCTTAGTGTGTGCACATGTAGATGTGCACCTCAATCATCTTAATGCGCATTAAGTTTAGGCATGTGTAAAAGCACGTATAGACATGCCCTCTGGGTCCCTGCTGCATTGGTCTCAAAGCTAGTAATGCCATCCAGAGCTAATCTGCACCACCACCAGGGCCAGATTAACCCTTTAGTGGGCCCTAGGCAAACAAACTCATGGTCCCTACTTAATAGAGTCTATTTATATTACCTTTTTCACTCAATAATTATAATATGTAAAATAAGCACAACTGGGCCCCTTCTCCACTTAGGGCATGTGCCTAGTTTGCCTGCCTGTGCATTAATTCAGCCCTGACCACCACCTGTGTTCACCAGCTTTATCCCTAGCTCTGTACATCGAGACCGCACTGATTCAGGGCTGTTTTCAAACTCTCTCCGTTGCCCGTCGCACAAGCATCTTCTGGAGCACGGCTCTTCAGAGATGCTTCTCCTGCAGTGAGCCAGACCATCTGGGTTGTGCCTTCATACTCACGGCAGATTTGCTCAGCAGAAGCCACTCGGAGGGGTGAGATTCCTGTATGTGAGATGCCAGCTTGACCTCCTGTTTCCACTGGGCAGGGCCTGACAATGCGTTTGAGAGAAAAGTCTAGCAAGGTCTGTGTCCTGGTGGTGAATCAGCCAGTGAATTTCTTGCAGGCATCCCAGATGGGTTTTCAGGAGAGGTCTGAGTGAGCAAAGAGCAGTGAGTGACTGCAGGGGGGTACAGCATGGAGAGGTGAATGGGGAGGGTGCAGCTGGACCGTGCATCCAACTCTGTCCGTTAGCCCATCACTAGCTAATGAGGACGCCGCGTGGCTGAATCTTCTCGCCGTCTCAACCCTGTATTCTCGGGCTGGATGGCAGTGCAATTAGGGCTCCGTGATGCAGGGTGGGACGAGTGATTTCCATCTGCGCCTTGGAGGGCAGAGTGGAAAAACCCGAAAGGGGAGAGCGCCGGGCTGAGATAGACTTCCACCGGCTGCAACGCGACTCTCCAGCGGCTCCGGTTCTGCGTGGGGACGCAGCTCCCTCGGCAGGGGCTTTAAGGTGGGAGTGTGCGGCTGGCTCGAAGGGTCTCTGCAGAGCAGGCCTGCAGCAGACAGAAGGGAGCTACAGAAGCTGGGAGAGGCGCAGAGGGTTTGCTGAACCCCTGGGGCCATGATAGACATTACACTTTGCAACTCATAACATGATGCACGTGCATGGGGTTATATCTCGGTAGGGGCCCAATCATCACATGATAACTAAAGGTAGATGGACGTAGTTCAGCTGAACCAGTTGCAGTTGAACCAGGTTTTGCATCTGGTTTTGCAATGTCTATCACGTTAGAGCGGTGGCAGGTGACAGGACAAGGAGCAATGGGCTCAAGTTGCAGCAAGGAAAGTTGAGGCTGGATATTAGGAAAAACTTTCTCTCAAGGAGGGTAGTAAAACACTGGAAAACACTGCCTGGAGAGTGGATTCTCCATCCTTGGAGGTTTTGAAGACCCGGGTAGACAAAGCCTTGGCTGGGATGATGTAGTTGGGGCTGGTCCTGCTTTGAAAAGGGGGTTGGACTAGATGCAACTTCCTGAGGTCCCTTCTCACCCTTATTTTCTATGATTTAATGAGGTCTGGGCTAATTAATTTTGTTGGTGCTCTGCAACCCTAAGAGCAATCACCGAGCCCAAACCTAGTACTATTCAGTTAAGAAGTGCAGAAGTCGGCTTCAAGAATGTGGGAACGAAGACCCGACGGTATGGGAGGCGACTAAAAGACCCTGGCTTCTTTGAGCTGTCATAGCAAATGCAGAGAGGGGATGTTGTGTCTGTCTATGCATGTCTCAGGGAAGCAGGCACCGGGCAGGGAGAAGGGGCTGTTAAGCTACAGGGCGAAGCTGGCACAAGGAGGAATGGTGATGACGTGCGCAGGGATGCATTTGGGCCGGACAATAGCAACCCATTCTTGCCCACTGGTGCAGAGAGGTCCCAGAAGAGATGCCCGGGGGGACCAGGCTGGGATGCACTGACTCAGGAGCTCCCTTCCAGTCTCAGGTTCCTATAAACTTATTTAGGATGATGCATTGCTATAAAAGATATGTAATGCACCTCCATATGAGTGCTAGGACCTCATAAAGAGCGGTAGGCAGCAGAGCGCTGCACATCCAACCCAGACTGAGAACAGTCCAGCTCCATCCTCTTTTGAACCACCCTGCTATTAAATCCCCCCTCTTCTGCAGCTCTGTCTTCAGACACCCCTGGAGCCCTGAGGCAGACACGTGCCTGGAGGGTGATGCTACACTCCCGGGGCAGCGGGCTGATCGTGGCTGTACAAAGTGGTGCTTGCTGATCCGTGGGCTGCCGTTGCAATCGCCATGCGGTGTCAGGTAGGGGCCCGCCACTGGAAACAGCACGAGGGTATTAGCAGGGTGCTGTACGGGAAAGCAGGGTCTGTGATCCCTCTGCAAGGCCCTTCCTTCTGTTCTCCAACCCCCCACAACTCCACGCTCCGAGTCAGGCAGGAGCTGCAATGCAAAATGCAAGGTGCTGGTTGCTGCTTGGCAATATTTCCCTCGCAGCCGGGAGTCTCGTCTGCTTCTGATGCAGCAGCCTGGCAGCGGGTCGGTCGTGCTGCTGGCTGCATCAGAAGCAGGTTGGCGCGGCTGGCTTGCTCCCTCTCCTCTTCCCGGAACACACAGTGGAGGCTTGGGATGCTTTCCTCCACCTTGCGGGCTCCTTAGCAACCCAAGAGCATGGGAGGAACGTCTCTGCTTGCTCCGCTCTGCCTCCTCTTCCACCCCAAGGCTGGCAGCCAGTGCTCTGGGAAGGGCCGGGCTAGCCTGAGCACTGGAAGCCAGCATCAGATGCAAAAACCTCATCCCCAGGCATCTGCCAGAGGAGGAGCGGGGGGATGCTGGGAGTGTCCAGAGTGGTCAGCGCACAGAACCTGGAGCGAGGACCTCTGGCCTGGTTGCCCAGTGCTGCCACATGCTCCCTCTTTGCTCTTGGGCATGTCACTTAGCTGCTCACAGGCACTGCAGCAAAGAGGTGCCTTCAAACCACATGAGTGAGGACAAGTCTGTGTCAGCAGCATGGCTGTGCCCTGGGACCATGTCCCGTGGTGGCACAGTTCACACCAGGGTACACTTAGCCGGTCTTGGCTGCTTATAGGAGTTTCCTAGGAGCTTCCTTCCCCGAAAATGCATGTGACAGCCCAGCCGTAGCCGGTCCTGGTCAGCAGGGACTCAGTTGTCCGGAAAGGGAGGTTCAAGTAACAAAGCAGCCCTGCATGGGCAAGTCTCCTTGCCTACCCGA